ATGGACCTTAGAAAGGTTGCTAAGAATGTATGTGCCTGAAATTTTACAAAATTTATTCCAAGAATTTTAAACTGAAATGGAAGCAATAGGGAGAAAAGCACCATCAAACTAGGTGCAATAGAGAGAAGCTAAAATGTAGAAATGCAGAAGAAATACCTACAAGTACACAGAAGACAAAGTTTAAGAAAGGAGCCAGTAATAAAACAATGTCTTCAAATAATGCACAAATGCAAAAATGGCAGAATAAGTAAGATGAACTAGAGATCCTCATGTAAGTAGGAACATTTGGCCTTACAGGCTTGGTGGAATGAATTCCATGACTAGAATATGGTTCAAAAAGGTAATATGATGAATATTAGTGGCAACAAAGTGACTGTACATTATTTCAGAGGACTGAGAGTGAAAAAATGTCTCTCATCTCTTTTCAGAGAAGTAGTGGATGATAGGTATAGAAGGAAGAATGAATTTTAAAACATGAAAAATGGTCAATTCATTTTGCTTGCCTGAGCTTACTTGTTATAAGAGAGAATTATATTGATATGGGAGTGTCGTGAGGAAATAATGGTGATGTTTTAAAAAAAGGGACATCAACAAAATATTTTAAAGAAAAATAAAAGATCAATGGAAGTAAAAAAGAGAGTAAAAATGTCATTGCCATGTGCTATAAATCATTCAGAAAGTGGAAAAATCAATGATGAGTCTGAGAAACATCATGAACCTGGAATAGTATCTTCATATAGCAGAAATGGGACTTCAGTTTTCTGCCCATCTACTAGAACACTCTGCCAAAAGCAGGACAGCTAAAAATTTATTTATTTATCTTAATAATTTCATTCTTCAAAATCCTGGGAAATTAACAAGAGGAAATTCTATTAAGGATCAGATTTACATCAATAAGAAGGAACAGGTTGCTAGGGTGGAAATGATGATCACCTTGGAGAAAGTGACTTCTTATAAGAATTTGTCAAAGAGGAAAGGAAAACTGAGTATAGTCTTATATGCATTCTAGATAATGAGAAAACAGATTTTAAAGATTTCAAAGAAAATACAGATTTAATCCTATGGATTCAAATTTTAGAGGGAAAATAAGCCCAAGGTGGATTGGAAGCTCTGAAAATCAAAATTTCGAAGACATTAAGATAAACGAGTACTATAAGTAGGAAAGGAGGAGTTGTTCTAGAAGAATATGGATACACAAAGAACTCATCAATCACCTTAGATTTAAAAGAAAAAAAGCTTTATAGATAATAAGGGCAAGGAATAGAAGATGCATGAGCAGCTAGGTGGTGCAGTGAATAGAGCACTGGGATTTTGTGTGCTTTTTAGCTATGTTAGGGGGGAAATGGAAGATTAAAGAACGAACAGGACTACTGATTAGCAGTAGGGACAGAGACAACTGACATCAGAAGGTAGAGTGGCTTAACTCATTGCTCAGGGTTGAGAAGGCAGATTTTCATTGATTGAAAATAATTAATTTTAAAAAGCAAACTATAAATACATAGACTAGATGGTAATACTGTCACCTGTATTTGGAATTGGTCAAATGGCTAGACGTGGAGTAGTCAAATGTTAAACTGAAAGAAAGTCTGTACAGGACTATCCTAGCAATACACTTGTGGCCATGCTCAGTTTAACATTTTCGTGAATGCTTTGGATAAAGGCAAAGCGATATGCCTATTAACGTGTTAAGCGACATGAGTCAGTTTATATGTGTTTATAAGTTTCACCTAATTTATCACATTTGTCATTCTTTATAGTACATTAGTTTTCTATTAAATCTATGTACAACAATTATTTTAGCCACTCACTAATCAATGGATATCTACTTTGTTTCCAGTTCTTTGCTTTCAAAAAAGGGTTGCTATGAATATTTTCAGCTCTTTTAATTTTTAAGTAGTTCCTTGTTCTGCTAGAAAATTACCCCCCCCACACTCTGTGATCCAACCAAACTGATCTCCCCCTTCTTCACACAGATCACCCCATCCTCCATCCCCTTGCCTTTGTTGTTACCATCCTCCATGTCCAGGATACATTCCTTCTTTACTTCTACCTCAAATAGTCCTTCTCTTCTTTTGAGATGCAGTTTAGGGATCTATCTTCTGCATGAATCCTTTGCTGATGCCTCCAACTGCTAATGCCCTCTTTCCTAAAATACTTTGAATTTGCATATGTTTGCATTTTAACTATATAACATATAGATGTGTAGATATATATAATATACATGCATATACATATATACATGCAGATATACATATACATACATATATACAATAATATATATACATACACATTTAGACACACACACACACACACACACATACATAGTGTTGAATTGAAATCTGCTTCTCTGTAACATCTACCTATGTCTTAGATCTTTCCTCTGTAGCTCCAACTAAATCTTAATAAATCTAATTTTATATAACAAGCCTTCTAACCCTATTATCTTACTCTCACAAGCCCAGTTTTTCCCAGGTTAAATACCACCAGTACTTTTGGTAGTTCTTCATATATCATGGTTTCCAGGCCCTGCATCAACTATATCACCCTCATCTGGACCAGTGGAACTGAATTAGAGGGTTCTGGGGAATAGTTTGTATAGGAAGAAGCCTATGAGAAAGCAATTAAAAGAGTCACATTATTGACTGATCAGACGGTTTCAGTGATAAAAAGGAAATTCTGCTGTTGCCATTTACGTCTCAGATATCTACCTGTGAGAGAACTCATAGCAACTCCCTCTCTTTCCATCTCCCTGTACCCATGCAGGTTCAGGAACAGAAATTTCAGAGAAATCTTGCCCAGGGATAAAATCTATAGAAAGGAAATTAGCAATTATTAAGCACTCTGGAAGATAAATGCTATTAATTTCCCCATTTTACAGTTGAGGAAACTGAGGCAAACAGAGGTTAAGAGACTTGCCCAGGGTCACAGCTTATGTCAGAGGCAAAATTCAAACCCAAGTCTTCTCTACTCCAAATTCTAACACTTTATCCATGATATTATACTGACTCTGTGCAACTGGTCTCACTCAGTCCTTAACCTTTCTGCTCATTTTTGTAGCCTCATCCTTATGAAATTTTCCATAGTTGAGTCTCTTCTGCCCATTGCTTGCAACAGGAAGAAGTGATATACTTTGTAAGTTTCTCTTTAGGAGTTTTCTTATATTCAAACAATACAATTTTTCACATAGGAAAAACCTCTCCTTTAGCCATTAATCACTCAATCACCATTTATTAAATAATATTATTAAGTACCATTAAACTACTATTACGTACAAAAAAACCAAGTGCCAGGAACTGTTCAAGCTACTGGATATGCAAAGACAAAGAATTTATCTTCTATCTTGGGAAATAGCATGCATGAACATAGATAAATGCAAAATATATATAACATAAATATGAGGAAATTTCATCATGGAAGCACTAGCAGCTGGGAGGATCAAAAAAGGTTCCATGTAGTAGAAAGTGTTTAAGCTGAGCTTAAAAGCACACCCCATTTGAGATGTCCAAAAGGCAGTTAGTGATGTGACAGGAGTTTAAGAAAGAGAGTAAGGCTAGACAGAGATATCTGGCAATCATCTTGATAGAAGCAACAAATGAACCCATTGTAGTTTGATTAGATCACCAAGTAAGATAATATTGAGGTAAAAACAAAAAAGGCCAAGGATAGAGTCTTGGGGAACACTGGGGATGGTGGTGTTAGTCGTGAGACATGGATGAAGAACCAGGAAAGGAGACTGAGAAGTAGTGGGATAGTTAGGAGGAAGTCTTTCTAGATTTCAAAGACCCACCAAAGCTTTGATCTGTTGGTATGATCTTCAAGAACCCTTCATGTCATGGTCACAGAATCATAAAATTTGAGAGCTGGAAGGGACCTCAGTCATCTAGTGTACAAAAGGAATCGCCCTATAGAATTTCCACTATACAATACATGACAAGGGTTCAATCTCTGCGTGAAGAACAAGGAGGGGGAACCCACCCCCTGCCGAAGCGTTCCATTCCCACTGTTGGATAGCGTTAATTACTAAATAATTTTTTTCTGACATCAAGTGGAGATTTAGCCCTTTTCAACTTCTTCCTGTTGCTCCTGGGTTTGCCTTTCAGGGTCACACAGAACAAGCCTAATCCCTCCTTCAAGTACATGAGGGTAGTTATCACATCTCTCCTGAATCTTTCCTTTCCTGAATTGTCGTTATTCTTCTGAGTTAGTCATATCTGATTCTTCATGATCCCATCTTCGGATTTTCTTGGCAAAGATCCTGGAGTGGTTTGCCACTTGCTTTTTCAGCTCATTTTACAGATGAGGACACTGAGGTAAAGAGGGTTAAATGATTTGCCCAGGGTCACACAGCTGGTAAATGTCTGAGGCCAGATTTGAACTTGGGTCTCCTTCACTCCAGACTCACTGCTTGATCCACTGCACGAAGTTAAATATAACCAATTCTTTCAAGCAATGTTGAGGTAGAAGAAGAAGATTTTTACTGGAAAACATATGGGGATATGAAATAAAAAGTGAAAGTAGGGAGATATATAGAATACAATTCTGCATTTGGATATCTGGGAAAATTGAGAAAGGCTTCCTACAGTCATTTGAGGACACAAGTATTAAAGAGAATCCAGAGAAATCATAAACATTTATCACAGAGAAGCAGTGTATACAGTTCTTTTTAAAAAGTGCTGCACACTGGTAAGGAAATAACATACATAGAGATAGGAAAATCCATTTAGACATAAAACCGCTTCATACTGAGTTCAGACTCTGAGCACATCAGCAGTGTACAGAGGTGGTGTGCTGCAGGAGAAAATGAGGAGATAATATTGGGAGAGATGGATTCTATTTTTGGCTTTGCCAGTGACATCCAAATGTGTGGGAGTTATATCATTTCACCTCTCTGGGTTACCATCTACTTTTGTGCAAAGTGAAATATGATTTCTATGGTCTCTCTAGAGGTAAAATGTTTTTTTTCATTCTGTCTTTGTGGAAACTTGTTCTGGAGAGAAAGAGGGTGTGGCCACTGCTTTCTAGAGTTCTTCTCTCTTACCCTGGAGTTTTGAGCACCATGAATATTTGGGGCTGCAGGAGGTGGCAGGGTCTGCTGCTGATTCCATCCAGCATCTTAAAGGACCAAAGGCCAGAGCTGTCATGAGCATGTCACTCCTTTTTTGGGTAGCTATTTTTCTTCTCATAGCAGGTAAGTCTTGGACCTTTTTTTATTACATTTTATTTTATTTTTTGAACAGTGATTTCATTGACTTCAAGTAAAGAACCCCCACTAGTTTTAATGTGTTGTTCCTCTGTCACTATAGCCTTAGAAAGCTGCCTTGCACATTGAGTGGCTAAGTGGTTTTGCCCAGGATTGCAGAATCAATGTATCAGAGGCAAGAGTTGAGCTCAAGTTTTTGTGACTTTAACTCAAGACTTCCTGACAAGGCTAGCCCTATACCCAGTATAAGACAACTGGTACTTGAGTCTTCAATACAAATTGGGCATCTCTCTCCTGAGTTTGCTACTTGCAGTATTCATTTTTGCCCCTTCAGACTATAAAATGTGAGCTCCTTCTTCAACTGATTCCTAGCTTCTATCTCCTTTCCCCACAGTCCCCATGGATGCTGGAGTCACTCAGAACTTCAGATACGTGCTAACAGCAACAGGTCGTGAGGTGACACTGAGATGTGATCAGGATCTGGGTCATGATTCCATGTACTGGTATCGACAGGACCCAGGGTTGGGACTACAACTGCTCTCTTATTCCCGCTATGTTGGCTCCACTGAAACAGAAGTCCCTCATGGATACAATGCCTCTCGAAATGAAAAACCATTCTTCCTGCTAACTCTCAAGCCTACAAACACAAACCAGACATCTGGCTACTTCTGTGCTAGCAGTGAAACCACAGCAGAACAGAGTCACCTCTTCCTTGCACAAAAAAGGCAATCAGAAGAGGTGAGATGACTTGGCCTCCCCAGGCCTAACCTTAAAAAAAGGAAGGGAGATACCATCTCAGGAATACATGAGAAGACCCTGCAGGCTTTTCATCTCTGCAGCACAGACCTCTAGGCTCTATTCCAGCCCTTCCAGTTTCTTGCTTGGGCTGCAGTGGCTCTGAGACAAGAGAACTGAGTAGCATGCAGGGATCACCTGGGCCCCTGACAGTCTCTCAGCTCTCTTCTTCTTTCCTCCAGCCATGGAGAATAAAGAGAATGTATGCTACAGTGGCAAGACTTTTACATGACTTTTAGAAGACAAGAACACTTGACCACTTCTTTAGAATTTTCTACAACGATGATGAGGGTGATTGCCTTCCTTGCCTCTTCCTGACAGATTCATAGCTTGTATTGAAGTCCATCTTATGTCAGTTTCTACAGAAAAACTATCCTGATCCCATATATCCTCCTATCTCTAGTGTTAATATTCAGCATACATTAAGTTCTTGGTATATGCATTGTATTTTATTTGCTGTGTACTTTTTCTTTTCCAAGATATTAAACGAGTTCTATGAGGTCAAGGCCTATTTCATTTTTGTCTTCTGCATTTGAAGAGTCCAGCATAGACCCAATAAAACAATATTCACTTAACAAATAGTTATCAAGTGAACGAGCAAATCCTGTTGTAGAATTTAATTAGATAGCTTGTTGCTAATTCCTATCTTTTGATAGTTGGTTGCTAAAAAGACATTGGTGGGGGCTCATGATTTAATTGATCATAACCAACATAAGGTTTTAAAAGTGGCACAGTTTAAGAGAGTGCAGGTGTGTGAGTATGTTTGTATGTGGGGAGAGTAGAGATGATATATTTAATCCAAAAATGAAAAGTGCACTGGCCATAAGACTTTTGGGACACCCAGTTTTTCTTAACACTCTCTTAAATCTCCATGCTATTTCTCTCAACAGATACTACTACAGCAGTAAATATCTGACTGATCACTCCCTAAGAGGCAAGATTCCAAGATTCAGGTTCACTAACACTTTCAGGATATGGAAATATCTCAGTGAGAAAAAAAAAGTGCTCTGAAGGTGCCTTATTTCCCTATAGGCATGCAAGCTCCTAAACAGAGGGTCATATATAACCTGCAACACAGCAACTCCTAACAGGTTCAAAGGACACAATTTCCCTTTTGTGTTTCCTAGGGGAAGACATGGAACACCAGAAGACAAACATTGGTACCATGCTGCTCCATCATACTCAGTACTGTACCTGCTCATTGTATTGATAATACTCTCACATACATTTTCACTTCTACAACTGTAGAGAGTAGCTTGATTAATGATTAATGATATATTTGCTCCTTGATATTCTTTTATTCTCATAAATTTTGTTGTTCAGTCTTCTCAGCAGTGTGTGACTCTTTTTGACCCTATTTTTGGGTTGTGTTGGCAAAGATACTGAGTGGTTGGCCATTTGCTTTTTCAGCTCATTTTACAGATTAGGAAACTGAGGTGATCAGGGTGAAGTGATTTGCCCAGGGTCACCCAGCTGGTCAATGTCTCAGGCCAGATATGAACTCGGGTCTTCTTCACTCACAACCAATGGTGAGGTACAACAAGAAGAGTTTACTGGAAAACATATAGGGACATCAAGTAAAAAGGGAACATAGGGGATTGCATGAAAATTTAATTTTGCATTTGGACATCTGCGGAAATTGAGAAAGGCTTCCTACAGCCATTTGAGGAGGCAAGTCCTAATGGGATTCCAGAGAAATCATTAACATTTATCATAAAGAGGCAATGTACAGTTATTTGAACATTTCAAGTCCAGTACTCTAGTAAGGAAATAACATACAAAGAGATGGGGAAATCCATGTAGACATTAAACTACTTCATACTGAATTCAGACTCTGAGCACATCAGCAGTATACAAAGGTGGTGTGCTGTAGGAGAAAATGAGGAGATAATATTTGGAGACTTGGATTCTATTTCTGGCTTTGCTAGTGACCTCCAAATGTGTGGGAGTTATATCATTTCAGCTCTCTGAGTTTCCATCTCCTTTTGTGCAAACTGAAACATGTTTTCTATGGTCTCTCTAGAGGCAAAAGGTGTTTTCATTCTGTCTTTGTGGAAACTCTTTGTGGAGAGGCAGGAGGGTGTGGCCATTGCTTTCTAGAGTTCTTCTCTCTCACCCTGGAGTTTTGAGCATCATACCTACTTAGGGCTACAGGAGCTGGCAGGGTCTGGTGCTGATTCCATCCAGCATCTCACAGGACCAAAGGCCAGAGCTGTCATGGGCATGTCACTCCTTTGCTGGGGAGCTATTTTTCTTCTCATAGCAGGTAAGTCTTGGAAATTTTTACTATATTTCATTTTTTTTTGAATTGTGATTTCATTGACTTCAAGTGAAGAACATTCATCAGTGTTAATAGGTTGTTCCTCTGTCACTACAGCCTTAGAAAGTTATCTTGCACATTGAGTGGCTAAGTGGTTTACCCAGGGTTGCAGAATCAATGTATCAGAGGCAAGAGTTGAACTCACGTTTTTGTGATTTTAACTCAAGACTTCCTGACAAGGCCAGCCCTATACCCAGTACATGACAACTGGCACTTGAGTCTTCAATACAAATTGGGCATCTCTCTCCTGAGTTTGCTACTTGCAGTATTCATTTTTGCCCCTTCAGACTATAAAATGTGGGCTCCTTCTTCAACTGATTCCTACCTTCTATCTCCTTTCCCCACAGTCCCCATGGATGCTGGAGTCACTCAGAACTTCAGATACGTGCTAACAGCAACAGGTCGTGAGGTGACACTGAGATGTGATCAGGATCTGGGTCATGACTATATGTACTGGCTTCGAGAGGACCAAGGGTCAGGACTACAGCTGATCTCTTATTCTCGTGATGTTGGCTTCACTGAAACAGAAGTCCCTCATGGATACAATGCCTCCCGGAATGAAAAGTCATTCTTCCTGCTAACTCTCAAGCCTACAAACACAAACCAGACATCTGGCTACTTCTGTGCTAGCAGTGAAACCACAGCAGAACAGAGTCACCTATTTCTTGCACAAAAAAGGCAATCAGAAGAGGTGAGATGACTTGGCCTCCCCAGGACCCACCTTAAAAAACGGAAGGGAGATACCATCTCAGGAACACATGAGAAGACCCTGGAGGCTTTTCATCTCCGCAGCACAGACCTCTAGGCTCTATTCCAGCCCTTCCATTTCCAGTACTTGCTTGGGCTGCAATGGCTCTGAGAGAAGAGAACTGAGCAGCATGCGGAGACCACCTGGGCCACTGAGAGTTTGCCAGCTCTCTTCTTCTCTGCTCCCAGCCATGGAGAATAAATAGAATGCCTGAGGAAGAATGTATGCTACAGAAGAAAGACTTCTAGTCTTAGAACCATAGAACGTGAATTCCAGTATTGACCCTGCCACTGAGTATTTAGGTAAACTTAGGCATGTCACTTATCCTCTGCTTGCCTCAGTTTCCCCATCTGGAAAAGGAAGATAATAATAACATCTACCTCCCAAGGCTGTTGTGAGGATCAAATGATATATTTGTAAAGTGCTCTGCAAACCTTTAAGCACTATCTAAATAGTGGCTATTATTTCAAGTACTGTTGATCCTTAGAACTCTCACAGCATCTGGCTGTAGTAATGTGTGTCTGAAGGCATGTCTACTCCTGGTCTCTCTCTGGTGACATGTACTGGCGACATTATTACAAGAGGCTTTCCTGACTGTTATCTCCTCAGTGCCCAGCCTCTCTTCCCATTCCAAAAGGCCTTGGCCAGCTCATAAATATTTGGCCCTTGAGGGGACTGTAGACCCACCCTTCAGAGGATTATGGATCCAGAACCATCAGGTATCTTAAAGACCATCTAGCTCAATGTTTTCATCCTACAGATGAGTAAACTGAGGCCTAGAGAAGTGATATGGCTTGCTTAAGACTCTGGAATGGAGAGAAGGCCAAGGTGTTGTAGAGAGAGACCAGCATGAAGCTTCATGGCATCCTAGGGAGAGTAATGCAAACTGCAATCACTTCATCCTGTGGTCTCTCTACTGTTCATAGGGCAATCAGAATGGATACTAAAGATTGGGGGGAATCCCTTCTCTTAATCTTTCTCACAACCTGTAGGTACAGGAGGAGGCTTGAAGGATGGATTGTGTTACTGACTTTTAGAAGACAAGAACACTTGACCACTTCTTTACAATTTTCTACAATGATGATGAAGGTGATCACCTTCCTTGACTCTGCCTGATACATTCATAGCTTCTTTTGAAGCTCATCTTATGTCAGTTTCTACAGAAAAGCTATCCTGATCCCCTACCTCCTCCTACCTAGTGTTAATATTCCACATCCATAAAGCTCTTGGTGTATGCATTGTATTTTATTTTCTGTGTACTTTTTCTTTTCCAAGATATTAAACAAGCTCTGTGAGGTCAAGGCCTATTTCATTTCAGTCTTCTGCATTTGAAGAGTCAAGCATAGACCCAGGAACACAATATTCATTTAATAAATAGTTATCAAATGAACAAATAAATCCTGCTGTGCTATTTAATTAGATAGTCTGTTGCTAATTCCTATCTTTTGATATTTGGTTGCTAAAAAGACATTGGTGGGGGCTCATGATTTAATTGATTATGACCAACATGAAGTTTTAAACATGGGGCAGTGTTTAAGAGAGTGCAGGTGGGTGAGGATATATATATATATATAGATAGATAGATAGATAGATAGATAGATATAGATATAGATATAGATATAGATATAGATATATATTTAAATATATATGTACACATACATATATGTGGGGACAGTAGAGGTGGTATTGTATTTAATCTAAAAATTAAAAGTGCACTAGCCATAAAACTTTTGGGACACCCAGTTTTTCTTAACACTATCTTAAGTCTCCATGCTATCTTTCTCAACAGATACTACTAGAGCAGTAAATATCTGATTGATCAGTACCTAAGAGACCAAAGTTCAGAGACTGAGGTTCATTAACACTTTCATGATATGGAAGTGTCTCATGGAATAAAAGTGTTCTAAAGGTACCTTATTTCACTATAGGCATGCTAGCTCCTAAACAGACTGTCGTATATAACCTGCTACACAGAAACACCTAACAGTTTCAAAGGACATAGTTTCCCTTTTGTGTTTCCTAGGGGAAGACATTAAACACCAGAAGAACAACATTGGTACCATGCTGCCCCATCATACTCAGCACTGTACCTGCTCATTGTATTGATAATACTCTCACATACATTTTCACTTCTACAACTGTAGAGAGTAGCTTGATTAATGATTAATGATATATTTGCTCCTTGATATTCTTTTATTCTCATAAATTTTGTTGTTCAGTCTTCTCAGCAGTGTGTGACTCTTTTTGACCCTATTTTTGGGTTGTGTTGGCAAAGATACTGAGTGGTTGGCCATTTGCTTTTTCAGCTCATTTTACAGATTAGGAAACTGAGGTGATCAGGGTGAAGTGATTTGCCCAGGGTCACCCAGCTGGTCAATGTCTCAGGCCAGATATGAACTCGGGTCTTCTTCACTCACAACCAATGGTGAGGTACAACAAGAAGAGTTTACTGGAAAACATATAGGGACATCAAGTAAAAAGGGAACATAGGGGATTGCATAAAATTTAATTTTGCATTTGGACATCTGCGGAAATTGAGGAAGGCTTCCTATAGCCATTTGAGGAGGCAAGTCCTAATGGGATTCCAGAGAAATCATTAACATTTATCATAAAGAGGCAATGTACAGTTATTTGAACATTTCAAGTCCAGTACTCTAGTAAGGAAATAACATACATAGAGATGGGGAAATACATCTAGACATTAAGCTACTTCATACTGAATTCAGATTCTGAGCACATCAGCAGTATACAGAGGTGGTGTGCTGTAGGAGAAAATAAGGAGATAATATTTGGAGACTTGGATTCTATTTCTGGCCTTGCCACTGACCTCCAAATCTGTGGGAGTTATATCATTTCAGCCCTCTGAGTTTCCATCTCCTTTTGTGTAAAGTGAAACATGTTTTCTATGGTCTCTCTAGAGGCAAAAGTTTTTTTCATTCTGTTTTTGTGGAAACTCTTTGCAGAGAGGCAGGAGGGTGTGGCCATTGCTTCCTAGAGTTCTTCTCTCTTACCCTGGAGTTTTGAGCATCATACCTACTTAGGGCTACAGGAGCTGGCAGGGTCTGGTGCTGATTCCATCCAGCATCTCACAGGACCAAAGGCCAGAGCTGTCATGGGCATGTCACTCCTTTGCTGGGTAACTATTTTTCTTCTCATAGCAGGTAAGTCTTAGACCTTTTTTTATTATATTTCATTTTGTTTTTTGAATTGTGGTTTCATTGACTTCAGGTGAAGAACCTCCACCAGCATTAATGGGTTGTTACTCTGTCAGTACAGCCCTAATGAATTGCCTTACATATTGAGTGGCTGAGTGACTTGCCCATGATTGCAGAAATCAATATGGCAGAGGAAAGACTTGATGTCAAGTTCTCATGACTTGAACTCAGGACTTCCTGACAAGGCCAGCTCTGTATCTGCTCTATGATAACTACTACTCAAGCCTTCCATACAAATGGTGAATCTCTCTCCTGAGTTTGCTACTTGCAGTATTCATTTTTTCCCCTTCAGACTATAACATGTGGGCTCCCATGTGGGCTCCTTCTTCTACTGACTCCTCCTTTTTCTCTGCTTTCCCCACAGTCCCCATGGATGCTGGAGTCACTGAGAACTTCAGATACCTGATAACAGCAACAGGATGTGAGGTGACACTGAGATGTGATCAGGACCTGGATTATGAGTCTATGTACTGGTATCGACAGGACCCAGGATTAGGACTACAGCTGATCTCTTTTTCCCTTAATGTTGGCTTCATTGAAACAGAAGTCCCTTACGGATACAATGCATCTCGGAATGAAAAGTCATTCTTCCTGCTAACTCTCAAGCCTACAAACACAAACCAGACATCTGGCTACTTCTGTGCTAGCAGCAAAACCACAGTAGAACAGAGTCACTTCTTCCTTGCACAAAAAAGGCAATCAGAAGAGGCAAGGTGACTTGGCCTCACCAGGCCCCACCTTAAAAAAAAGTAAGGGAGATACTGTCTGGGGAATACATTAGAAGACCCTGTAGACTCTTCATCTGTGCAGCACATACCTCTAGGCTCTATTCCAGCCCTTCCACTTCCAGTTCTTTCTTCGGCTGCAGTGGCTCTGAGACAAGAGAACTGAACAGTATGCAGGGACCACCTGGGCCACTGACAGTATGCTAGCTCTCTTCTTCTCTGCTCCTGGCTATGAAGAATATATAGAATGCCTCAAGATGTATGTGTGCTACAGACTTCTGTTCTGAGAACCATAGAACCTGAGTTCTAGTATTGGCCCTGCCACTAACTGCCTAAGTAACCTTAGGCATGTCACTTACCCTCTGCTTGCCTCAGTTTCCCCATATGGATAAGGAAGATAATGATAACATCTACCTCCCACAGCTGTTGTGAGCATCAAATGAGATACTTTTAAAATGCTTCGCAAACCTTTAAGCACTATCTAAATAGTGGGTATTATTTTAAGTAGTGTTGATCTTTGAACTGTCACAGGATTTGGCTGTAGTAATGTCTGTCTGAAGGCTTGGCTCCTCCTGGTCTCTCTCTGGTGACATGCACTGGTGACAGTATTACAAGAGGCTTTCCTGACTGTTATCTCCTCAGTGCCAAGCCTCTCTTCCCATTCCAAAGGACCTTGGTCAGCTCTTAGATATTTGGTCCTTGAGGGGACTGTAGACCCAATCTTCAGAAGATTGTGGATCCAGAGCTAGCAGGTGCTGAAAGACCATCCAGCTCAACCTTTTCATCTTATAGATGAGTAAAATGATGCCCAGAGAAGTGATGTGACTTGCCTAAGACCCTGGAATGGACACAAGGCCAAGGTGTTGTAGAGATAGACCAGCATGAAGCCTCATAGCATCCCAGGTGAGATTTACCTGGCAGAGTAATGCTAACCTTAGGCACATCATCCCATGCTCTCCCTACTGTTCATAGGACAATCAGAATGGACTCTATAGATTGGGGGAAGTACTTTCTCTTAATCTTTCTCACAACCTGTTGGTACAAGAGGATGTTTGAAGGAATGAATGTGTTACATGACTCTCAGAAGACAAGGACACTTGACTGCTTCTTTACCATTTTACTTTGCTGCACCTTAATCAAACATGTAACTGAAAACTTATTTGCCTGCGTCATTTCAATGAGGTTGATTAAGACAGATCCGGTGATTTCCCCCATGTCAATAGTGAGGTCTCTAGAAATCTAGATTGCCTTCTTTTTTGAGCTGTATTTCATTTTCGTGTTCTTTTATTTATATTTATATTTATACATTCATTTCATAAATCTGCTTTTAACCAGGAGAAGCTCCATAAGGAAGAGTAGTGAGAGAGGGAGGTAGGATAAAAATTTATATGCTCTGCTCCCTCGTCTGAGTATTGAGGGCACTACAGCTTTGAAGGAGACTCCAAGGATGCCAGGAAAGCACCTAACTGTTCACTTGAGAGTGCCATATCCTGGTGGATGTGTAATTGAAGATTACCCACTCTTTGATGGTTAATTAATTCATAAAGTGATAACTTTTTCTGCTGGATTACAGAAAAATAGGTCAGATTTGTTTATAACACTGTAAGGTTTCTCAAGTGTTTTACTTATTTTTTTCATTCAGTACCTATGTCCTAGCATCAGGCATTCCCTATGTGTGTGCTTTACTCATCCTTCCTCTTCCTTATCTCCAATATTACCTACATAAGTACCCTTCCCTCCTAGTAGTGTGATAGTTTGTGGAATATCCTTTTGTTCCTGAGGCTAAGGGAAAATCTTTTTGGTTTCATTGGTTCCAGCTTAGTGAAATAAGGTGGTATAGCAGCTAGAAAGCTGACCTTGGTTTCAAGACCAGCCTCTGATATATAGTGATTATGTGACCTTAGACAAGTCACATAACTTCTCAATGCCCTAGGCTACTCTCTAAGATTATAAGATGTGGGGGAAAATACATATCCAGTCTTCGTTTTTCTCTTGAGCTCCATTTACTAATCGTTACCTGTTCATTGGACATCACAAACTGAATTACCATTTCCTTGCCTCCCCCACTGTTAATTTCTATTTCTGTTGAGGGTCCCACCATTTTTCTTTTTTCATGATTTTTTTAAATTGAAAATTTTGTTTTTTTGGAATTTTTGGTAGGTGAAAGCAATAGTTTAAAATATTTGAAGCATTTTCATATGGAAGAAGGACTGATTTTACTTTTTCATGTACAAAGGAAACAGGACCAATGCTCAAAAGTTTTAGTAAGGTTATGGCTTAATAAAGAAAAAAAAAGAAATATGTGACAGAACAAATGAGACCTCTTTAAAGATGCAATAAACTGACTGCCTTGAGAAATAGTGATTCTCACAACAATGGAAATGTGGAAGCAGAAGTTGATAATTAGATATCAGGGATGAGGAAGATAGACTTCCAACAAATTCTGGCATTGGATGGGGAGTCAGAAGAACCTCAGAGCTGAAAGGGATGTCAAAGACTGTCTATTTCAACTCACATACGAGAGACCTCTCTCCAATGTACTCTTAAAAAGTGGTTATCCAGCCTATTCTTGAAGAATTTTATAGTAAGGGACAACTCACTACTTCCCTATGAAGATCATTATACTATTACATAGTGCTTAATGAATGGTTGGCACATAGCAGGTGCTTGATTAATTGACTATAAGCATTTGTTGGTTTTTCCTTAAATTAATACTAAATTCCCCTCTTTGCAATATCTACCCTAGGTTCCTAATTTTGTCTTCTGGGACCAAGCAAAAAAAGACTAATTGCCTTCTTTGTATGCTGGAAGAGAGTTCTCATGTCCCACCTAATGTCAGCTCTAAAATCTGTTGCTCAGGATTGGACATAACATTGACAAATATGGTCTTGAGAGTTCATAGTGCAGCAAGACTGTTGCTTCCTTTGTCCCACATTCCATGCCTGTTTTAATAGAGCCAAGTGTCCATTAACTTTCTTGGCTATCATATGTAACATATATTGAGACATACTGAATTTCTAGTCCATTAAAACCCCACAGCTTTTTACAGAGGATGTGCTGTCTGTCTTATTATACTTCTTTTGCATTTTATGTTTCAAGTCATTTTTTTGCCCCTGTAGGCATGTGGGTTCTTTTTTTCTTAATCTGATCTCACATTATTATATGTGTCCCAACAGTTTAGCCTGCCAAGATATATTGGATCATGATTTCATCATCCAATGTTTAATTCTCCCGGATTTGTATCATTTATATACTAATTTTACTTTTACCAAAATATTTCAAATATGATCACTGAGGTCAGTGAGTCAACAAGCATTTATTACATGCTTACTAGATGCCAGCCACTGTGTTAAGTATTGAAGATACAAAGGAAGGCTGAAGGATAATCCTCATCCTCAAGGTGTTCAGTCTATGTGCATGCAAGATATAGATAGGAAAAATAGGAGGTAAATTCAGAGGAAAGGCATTAGCACTGAAGATATTTGGAGGGAGATTTGAAAGGAAACAATTCCAAATATGCCTTTGCCCTCAGAGGGAAGTAGGAAATGGAGGAGAGACCTTGGATAAGGGAGAACATGTGTGATGACAGTCACCTAGGGGGATTCGACATGGGCAAGCAGAATGGGTACAGCACACTCTCTTGTTGAAGGCTTGAATGAGTGACGGTGTGTGAGCAAAACTCAACAGGACTTAGGGGCAGAAAGAAGTACAGTCAAATTTGCAGGGAAGATACACTAGAATCAATTTTGCCCTGTCAGGGATGGAGGGAGGGGAAGGAGGGAAAGAATAATAAATGGAGTTGTGATGGGGCTGATTGAATTAGCACTTCTACTCTGCATGCCAGTCAGCCTGGGTAATTATGGGAGTGAAAGAAAAGGCAAGGAGCTGGTGAACCACTGATCAATTCACTCTATACATGTCAGGGAATGGAAAATGCATGTGGGGTTATTACATATCATATTATAGATCATATACATTATAGTTATGATTACAATAATGAGCACAGAGGCCAGGTAAGATTTGGGTGTGGTTGGACATCATGGACCCAGCTGTCATATCCTGGACAAAAAGTTTTGTTTGGTGCACCCTTTGGTAATAGTACAATGAGAATTAAGACCTTTATACTCAATATTTGGATGTGAATATTCTTATCAGACAGAAAAAGGGGTGGGGGCAACAGAACTTTACCAGTTGAAAGAACTCTCTGTCAGGAAAAAGTTCATTATCTATTAGATGCATTTCTACTTGGAGATTTAGATTGAGGCACCATCCACAATGGATAAAAGTCATTGATGTAGAGTTATTAGTGTCATCTCAATACCAGCCACCCTTCTAATGCCCAGTCTCTGGCCTCCCATTACAGCCTTCATTTATATCTACTTCACTTAAAAACATGCACACAGAGACTCTCCCAACCCTCTGTCTATGCACAAATCCCATGAGAGTCTTTTTGCAGTTACAAGTTTAAGAGCAATGCATGTCTTCCAGTTCTGAATAGGTGGCTGAGTGGGTAGTCCAAAGAACACCATATTTGGAGTTGGGAGAACTGGTTTCTAGCCCTGCTTTTTGCCTCTGACTAGCTGTATTACAATGGGCAAGCCAACTCACCTCTTGGGACTTCAATTTTCTTTATTTATAAATTAGTGAAGCATGATCATTCCTAACTCCAAAATTACGTGATTTTTCAAACAAAATCTGTGATGAGACCCTGAGTGCCAGGAGGCCACTTACCTCCAGGGCTCTTTTTCAAATCCTTGAGTGCCACACAAACATCTGGAGATGTGGGAGCAAGAAACAACACAAATGGATATCACATAGGGCTATTAATTTTCCAGTCTTTCAGAGTCACTAAATCCCAGAGCTGAGAAAGTTCCTGATTCCTTCAGGTATAGACCTTGCCATGGGCATCATGTTTTTTCCAATTTATGGCCATTTCTCTTAGGATTAGCTAAGTCTTGGGTACAGGCTGGGAATTTTTTCTTTACAGGCATCT